GGTAATATTGTGTAGGTATTATATTACTCACGCTTCGGTCGGCTGTGGCGGTAACAAAACAACAAAATTCGAACCCCCTTAAACACGATAACATTCAAATCTCTCACACCCGCTGGGCCCACCCCTATCTCCCTCGATCGTTTTTCCGCAGACTTACCGGTTTCAATTGGATATAATACACGCGCACCTATACACATAATATATTATTATATACATGTATATAAATTCTTTATCGTGCTTTTAGCAGTTTTTTTTTTTAATGTTCCTCCTGCTCGCGGAAACGTAAATCGCCGCCGAGCCGCAAACTACTCTCCCGATCGTAGTATGGATTTATATGTATATATTATAATATAGGTAGGTATACGACAACGCAGAGGCCTTATCTTATTTACTATATTTTATAGCGACCTGCCGGCAGTTAGGTTTTGACGGTATTTTATTTGTTTATTTTTGTTTTTTTTTTTATCCACCCCAAAAGCGCCACTCTCCGACGAAAATGTTAATGAGTCTGGATTTTTTACTGCTCGGTTTAGACGACTATTTTATAATACTGGGGAAATGGTGAATTGGAGTTTTCCCTCACCAATATGTTATAAGACGCATTTAATTTATTATGATATACCTACAACTGTCAATGTACGTTATAATATATGACGAACAATTCTGAAGTTTAACAGATGGCCACTTAAGGCACAATGTTTCTGATAACATAATATTATTATAATATTATTATTATTATTATTGCACAATATTATATAATAGACGTATAATTAATAAAATTGTACCTCATATCTCTGAAAAATACTTTAATTACAATACAGTAAATAATATAAAACTATTTAGTACTGCCATAGTCAGGGTAACCACAAGGGGGGGGGGGCTGATGGACCTTGAGTACAGGGGCCCAAAATCGTATGTGGAGGCCCTGGGCCCTGGCTATAGCATTAGTTTTATCATTTTTACATTTTACTGCAGAAGTTTTGATAGTGTGATATATTATTATCATATTACATATTTAAAAGTTTTGACAATTTTTTTGGATCCCTTACAAGTGACTGAGAATTTTTACACATGAACGGTAAACGTGGCTCAATTGGTGTAATATTTTTACCTGTAACTTATCAGTTGTCATCATATTATATTCGATTCATTGACCATATATACCTTATTTTACCTTTTAATAATACATTTATTTAAACTATGGTTTTTTCAATGTTTATAAGTTGATATCTATGTATTAATAATAAGTAACTTTCATATTTTCAAAGATATAGTTTTTAATGCCATTTTAAGAATAATTATCTTTTTTCGATCCAATCATTTTTTTTTTCAAATAAGAAAATAAATAAATACAATTAAAAAATAATATAAAAATAATTAAATAAATTTTACTTTTTATTGTAGATTGCTGAGGTTATTTTCGATAAATTTTTACGAAAATTGAATATAAATCAAAGTTTGAACTAATAGTTTCTAAGTTATTGAACTTTTCGTAGGTACATAGAATAATCCTAAATAATTGTTTTACATAAAATATAATATAATAGATTTAAATTTGAGTCTAGTACTTATTGAAATCAGATAATCTTAATGAACATAAAAATATTATAGCAAAATAAAATAAAAATAGCCAATATCAATAAATTATTATGATTTTCCTATCATCATGGTGACTTATCCATATTATATTGTTTTAACCTAAACATTCACCTTTGGGATAACTTATATTCTTTAAACATTAAAACAATTAACAACCTAGACTAAAGATTCATGTATCTACTATATGTTTGCATTAGGTACACATACCTCATGTTATCATTATATTACTTCTCTTGTAAGCTATGCACTGTTTAATGATAACGTAATTTTGTATTATAACCATTCATCAATCCGGTACGGTATAATATAGGAAACGGTTAAAAAGTATTAACACAGAAATCCAATCCTGGACCTCAGACACCTCACTCGTGTAACCAGCTTTTTTCAAATCGAATTTGACTCTTCGTTTTACGAAAAAGTACTTAAAGGGTCCACACCCTATGTAATATGTATGCGAATAATAAATGTCCGCGACAATGACGTTTGTACTGACTCGCCATTGAAGCCGACAAATTGTACTCAACGTGCCTCTTTCCACTTTTTTTTTTGTAGTCTCCCGGGACGACGTCGGGACATGCATATCGTATTACAATATATATCCAAATTGAACTCTAAATATACGTCTCCGCAACTGCAAACATCCACGACAAGTATAATCTCATTATGTATTACGCTATGGATTACAATGCCATATTGAAAAATATCATTACTAGTCGATATGCCAAGGGTAATCGTGTGATTGTGGTTCTATCATAAACGAATATTATTACAATAAAAATTATTCTTCATCGCCGTCGCCGTTGGTCGCGTTCGTGATTTATCGTCGCAATAATTATGCATAATTCACATAAATAATAAATTTAAATCAAGTATGATATACCCTTTAGCTACAGTAGTTGAAAAAATAAGATGTAAACATCCTACAAATCTCGAGTAGTCTATATTGGTGTACAAAAGTAAAACTAACATCAATTTTCAGATGTATATTTTCATGGACGGTTTGAAATTTTCACGACGTCGTTTAAGCTACAAATATACATTGAACTCTCATATTTTTTTCATAATTTGTTTATTCGAAACCATAAACACGACGATTTATGCATGCTTTTACAGTTTTACCTCATCTGCCCGAGTAACCAATGGCAATAAATACTAATTTCTCCTATAATTACTATTATAGTATTATAATCTGTAAGCTGTAACCAATTTTACACACGAATTTCCTTGGTAAATCTCAAAATTCCTTTGTAGCGTTCAATAAAAAAAAAAAATGAAAGGCCACTTACCGAGATAACAGCTATCGTCTTTTAAGAATTATACTAAATCGCACACATTGATCATAATCTTATCGAAATCGGTTGAGTAGCTTCGGAGTGCATCGACTACACACCCGTCGTACATGACATTCTTATGCATATAAGAAAAAGATAATATTATGTACTTTAAATAATTCCGATACAAAGTGAACGCACATCTCTACTTTTTCAAATCGCTATGATATTATTATGTTTAGCCTATCTATATACTTGCGCGAGCGTTATACCGTAAGCGCATAAAAAAAAAAAATTGCCAACGTTCGAAATCATTTATATTTTCGTATATATATTATAATAATATATAATATAATATTATGTATTTTATGTTATTAAGTACTTTGTGTTTAAAGTGCTCACTGACAAAATACGTGCTTCGTACAGACAACGTAGATTTGTTCAATATCCCAATATATTTAAAACGACATGTTCTCGGTGTATTCCATTATTATATTATGTGTTTCCGTACGGATATTTTCATTTGAATTCAAGACATTTATTGTGATCGGGTTCCGTTTTCGCGCTTAAGTTTGTTAAATTAATAATATAAAAATGTCATCGCATTGGAATGTGTCCTGGCTACAACTGTTCTGTACAATTCAGACGATTCATTGAATGCGTGAATGCGAGATTTTATGTAAAAAATATTATATAATTCTTCTTTTGAGAATAACTGCGATCTCTCTAATACACGGGCCTTGTTCCTCGCTCTCGTATATTGTGTGTACTTCCAAATCAAAGTATTTACTTAATTATAATATTATAATACAATACCTATATCGATTTAAATCTCCTAAAATTATCGGCTATCTCTCTTTTTCTCAAAATGGATTTCGCTCGGTATTGAAGTTGATGTCAGCACTCTATTTGGTTTTTCACTCTGGCCATCACGCATCATAGCGAATTTTAATTCATAGGAATTAATCGTATGTTATAGGTAGTTTTAATATTAAGGTGAATAACTGACTTATTATTATTAAACCTAAAAGTAATACACAGCAGTATTAACTATTAAAATATAGGTACGGTCATACTATAAATTGTGTAGTTATATTATATTCTAAAGTAAGTTATAACCATGTAAAATATTAACATTTTTAGGTAATATTCTTAAAATCATTAGTACATTATGAAACTTAAATTGCATACTTATACATGTGATTGGGATATACATAAATATTATACAATATTAATTGTGTTATTACAAAATCAAATAAGTTGTAATTCATTGTTAACCGTTTGAGGACAAGTAAATAATATACTAAAGCTTGAATAAATAAAAGTCCCTACTTTAATACAAAACAGAACATAAAATAATAATTAAAATATAATAAAGACAAATCATAATAAACAGGTTCTTTCGAAATGCAAGGGACATTATTTACTATATGCACTCTGTTATGGAATTACACGTCATACAAGTTACAACAAATTAATGATGAATTGCCATTAAGCGTTTATTATTTAATAAATAGTGACAGTTACACATTTACCTCACTCGCTATCATCATAAAACCTTATTATATCTTCCAATACGGTGTTCTATTTTGATTTTATAATAACATTAAATATAGTAATACCTATAACAGTTAATAATTCTTGATACTGGCTTCAATACCCATTGAGTCGATGCATTCTAATTGATTGTAAAAAATAATAGTCTATAGTAACCTAGTCAATGCACGTAACGCTAATAAGAGTTTGTTACAACTTACAAACATAAACCAATCAAGTTATTTGTCTTTAACCTCTAACCAGCAAATATTTAAAAATAAACCCGAGAAAATACCCTTGACATTTTTGGCGAGCTCACCAGTAGCTATAAATGATTAATCTCACCTGTAGCTTTAGGAGGTGCAAGAGCGATAAACAATACATATGTGACTTGTGTAACTTGCGGTTTGCCGATAAAAGCCATCTGACGATCCACTGGCGGACACACACGGGAGAGAAACCGTATTCGTGTAACACGTGTAAGGAGTCGTTCAAACAAATTGGTACTCTGATAGGGCACAGGCGGAAGCACACGACCGATAAACTTTGCTCAAGCGACATAATATGTTCAAAGTCATTTACTCGAAACGATTATCTGACGAGCGACCAGCGGACGCACATGGAAGAGAGACCCTACTTATGCGACTTGTGTCCCAAGTCGTTCCGTCAAAAACGCGGTCTGACGATCCACAAGTGGACGCACGTGGCAGATAAACGCTATTCATGCGACTTGTGTCCCAAGTCGTTCAGTCAAAAGCGCGGTCTGACAATCCACAAGTGGACGCACACGGGTGAGAAACCGTTCTCATGCGACTTGTGTCCCAAGTCGTACACTCGAAGCGGTAATCTCGAGATCCATAAGCATTCGCACACGGGTGAGAAACCTTACTCATGTGACTTGTGTCACAAGGCGTTCACTCGAAAATATTATATGAAGGTCCACAAGCGGACGCACAAGGAAGAGAAACTTAACGTATATGTGACGTGCGTGCCAAGTAATTTACTAAAAATATTCACATGATTAAACATCTGAGGACGCAAGATATGAGTGCCCGATCAAAACTCGAAATATTATGATATTGCTGTTCATAATATGTTAATTTGTTCGTGTACCTAGTGAGTTTAAATAATATTAAACTTCGACTTGTTTTTATAATGACAATGACGAAAACCCTTTGTCTTTGTTTTTTAAGTACATGTTGTCTACGTTGTGTACTTTAAATTTTATATTGTCAAGTTGAAAATATACGAAAACCCATTAAATCGGTAAAAGGGATGTTTTGAGAACATTTTTTTGACCTGTTTCTAAAATGGTAACTTGGCGTATTTCTGAATTTTTAGATTATGTAGTTTTTATTTTATCAACTATTAAAGTCAATTGATATAGAGCAAAAAAAGCTTAGAGCTTCTAAGTAATTCTCGAAAAAATGAATTCAATATATTAATATCTACGATATTCATTTGTTTTTTTTTTTTTAGTTTGCTATAATAACCCTAAAGTACTATAATTATCATCATTTCTATAATCTATTTATTTTGTAAAATAACTTGTATTGACTGACTGATTTCTGGCTAATTTACCATCATCAAGCCAAACAATCGTATGAAATTTGGTTAATAGTCTCTTTTTATGACCTACAAAAATAGGATTATCCAAAATTCACATTTTGAAGACCTCCTCGAACTAGGATTTTGAGAATTTCGTTGAAAATTAAAACTTTTGTTTTGTTTATAAATGTCCGTCAGTGTCCGCTTTACAATGAGGTAAAATCGAGCACCAAATTGTCAAGTGTACGTGGCTTCGATGAACCAAATGTATTTTTGTATCTTATATAGATACTTAAAATGTACTTGATTGATTTTTACGGAAATCTCAGATATGGTTTTTAGAGATATTAGAAAAGTTAAGAGAGTAAGGTTATTTAGGTAGATTATTTACTGATTATAAATTGATCTATATTAATTATTTTCCATTGATGAAAAAATGCATTTTATGGGTACAACTATAACTTTCATATCGTCGGATTTATTATTGAAATCAAAATAAATAATGATGGACCATAGGTAAATATTTCAAAGTAAAACACGATCGTAATTAAAATACCGGTTCGAGATGTGGGTGATTTTACTCGTATACAGCGTTAACTATTTATACAAATATTTTTTTTTAATTATAATTCTTCGATTTGTGCATCCGAGATAAAATAAATCATTACCTACATAATAATAATATATACTAGACATTTTATTTTTTCATTTACCATGAAAAATTTTAATATTGGCTTTAGGACGTTATGGTATTTAATTATGACGGTGTTGATGACGACGACGACGACGACGACGGTTGGACTATAATAATAAATTATTCAGATAGGTATCGAACGGTGTGGAAATATATAAGAGCTGTTGGAGTACCTACATAATATTCTACCTAATTATTTTATATTATTTATAACAATATGATTTATCGACAGGTTTATTATATGGGCGTGTACATCAAACTATGTACCGAGCGTCTAGCGGGTACCTATACATAAAATATGTAATAAAATAATCCGATCCGTGAATAATAAAGAACCCCGTCCGCGTGAACAGGAAAATGTCTTTATACGGTACATTTTATAGTGCAATATCGGCAGTCAAAGGAAATAATATAATATAATATCATTATTTTCATGCAGCCTGTATACACTGCTGCGTGAGTTGTCGTCGTCGTCGTCGTACGGTAAAAGGCAAAAGAAATTCTTCTGCAAAAATAAGTAAAATCGATTGTCACTACGAGCTTTCCGCTGCAGAAACGGCCACAGCGTAAAATACCTTTTATAGAATGTGCGCATTAATGTGTGTCCGTACACACATCTATAATATATATACACGTACAAAAATATCGCCGGAGCAGTTGTTGAGGGACAACAATTTAAAAATGAATTAAAAATTAAAATAAAAAATAAATAAATAGAGGAAAACGGGATCACGGTGTTTTTTTTTCCCCGGAGCACACGACTACAAGACCCAAGAAAGGCGACTCATTGTTATATTATATTGTTTTCAGCACGATATTATAATATACACTTCGGCTAATACAATTTATAGATGTCGTATAAACGTGCCCTCGGGGATAATAACATTGTAATACACATACCATGGCGAGAAATTTCGTGTGACTAGAATTCCGCGATCATTTTATTACATTATTTAGATAACTAGAAACGCGAACGATGAGTATCAATTGGCTCGAGTTAAAGTTTTTTTTTTTCAATGCTTCCATATTCGCTTAGACCAGAGAACTCGTGTATTATATATTTTATTGCACCGGTGCATGTATTACGTCATTTTCTCCAGACTCCGAGGTGCCGAGACTTCGAATTTTTAAACTCGTACAATTGCCGTTCGGTATGCTCTTATACATTTCATGCACAACATCATATTATGCGTTACAAATATTGCAATTTATTATTATGCACATTCAGCTAGATTTATGGTTAAGAAACTGACGGGTTTTTCGCTGGGATCGTATGCTATCGGGTCCCCGAAAATTGTGTAGAGCCGAATTGGAACGTGTGCTTATTTGAGCGTCGGTGGCACGTCCAATAGGTATATAGCATAATATCAGCAGTTCCACCGATGGAGCTTAATACCGCAATACAAATCTATTGAAAAGGAGCCACGGGAGATGTTGACTTCAAGAGCTACATTATTCTATTATTTGATTTTTTCCCCTTTTTTGTCAATTTCAAACGAATAAAATTGTTTCAAATTTCACAAATACATTAAAAAAAAAAAAACAAATCCGGTGGAAGGGGGGTGCTTCACTTGGTCCACAAAATTGCGATACTGGTATAAGATTTTGCATACTAGTATACAACCAATACGCACATAATATACAGTGCACCTGCCACCTGTAATATTCTATTTGTACGATCATAGACAGAGTCCATTTATCACGGCTAAATCGGTTTATGCCCAGTTCGCCGACACCCTGTTTTTTGATAAAAACCAGTTTTTAATGGTTTTTAAAAAAAGCCCAATTTTCCGACATATGATATTGGTGACCTGATACGTTGCATCGAAATAAAACTATAATAAGTACACCAGTACTATCATAATCTGTAAATTCATTTTATCGCGAGCATAAGAACAAGTCGCTAACGGCTATAATATATATATATATATATCGGCAACGTTATGATATCTGTAAACTTATTTGTATCATATTTGTGAGTATAAGATAGTACTATAGGTACCTATCACATGATAATTGACATCCATGATCAATATATTATAAATACATGTCCACTGTGGTTTTCAAATAATAATTATGATTTTGGTTTGTAGTTATATTTCAGTGCGTGAGGTACTGCAACAAAATGTATTCCTTATTCCTACATATTTAATTGTTCCCCCCATTATGGAATGGTTTAAATTTAAGTCGGAAAAAAATCAGGACTTACTTGTAGTGGACAAATATTTACACAGAATAGACCGGATACGTGGAGACAATCAAATATCATATTCGCATACAACTATTTTTATTATTATATATATTTTTTACTTTTTTATTATTATAACGACTATGTAATATTACCATAATTTTATGTTTTTAAATTACAATTTATAATTAAACAGGGATTTTGAAAATATTTTTATAACTGAACTGTAATTCTTCAAATTGAGTGTTGTCAAATTGACTGTCGGCAAACTGGGTGTCGGCGAAACGGGTGTCGGAGAACTGGGAATACAACACTCAGAGGACACCACGAGGAAGCAACTATCACTGTCTTCCAAAAATGATTTTTTGGTTTTCTTTAAATAAATAACTTAGTTGGAAAAACGAATTTTTTTTCCAAATAAAATAATATGAAATTAATAAGTTGTTTAAAATATTTTTTAAAGTTAATTTATGCAGTAGATAAAATAAAGAATCAGGTATATTATGCAATATAGAGTTAATAGTATTAGAATATTATAAGTTAGGCTTATCCACCACTAAATTAACAGTAGTATTAATATATTATATATACAATAGATACCGATGAATTAAGGTCACTTAGATACTATGAGCGCAAATTACTATACCCATTTTAGAAACCAAAAAATCCCAGGCACAATTTACTATTTTTATTATTTTTATTCTACCTGCTCAATTTGAATGCAATTTTCAAGCGCCGTGTTTTTTCGGATCCTAATGTAGTGATTAAAAAAAATATATATATATATATATATTATTAAGCATATTTTTTGCTGTCTTATTATAGTAATTATGTGATATTAGTGTATAGAATTTATTAAACTATGAACTCATATTATTAGCCAGGGAGAAATAAGTGTGCCATCTTGCCTCCCCTCCCGTGGATGCCAATTCCTTACCGGTGATAAATTACGCCACTGGTATATTATACATAAGACTTGTATAATACTAATACGCACATAATATACTGTAGGTAATGCAAACCTGATGATGGTTTTTTTTTTTTATTCTGGTTACAAGAAATATGCGTATTATCTTCCCACAGTTAAATATTACTAGAAATGTCTCTACACCGAGATAAAACCTCGTATCGGAGCGAGCTACGTCGAGCTTGACGCTAATTTATATTATACGATCATACTTCTCGGCGTCACGAAAGTAACTCGTTTTCGAATTCATCAGTCTCGAGATGCACATTATGGTATAATTAAAAAGTTCGGCGCAAGTACCGTCGTTATTATTATTGTCGACGTTTTCCACGAGTTCGGTATAATGTTTATTGACTTTTTGGGTCGCTAGAGGCGGTTGCACTTGTGGTCTAGTAGGTGTACTGCACGTCGGAGTTGCTCGTATCGTAGTTTTCTTCCGAGAAAATATGTTTATTTCGATGATATTAAATTCGACGCGGACAACAAGGAACACATTGTGTTCCTAAAATATTGTTTAGCGGTCTGGGGATGACTTTCCACGGGGAAAAAAAGACCTACCGAAATCATCCGCCTATAGTGATTATAATATAATATAATATAAATTCAACGGTTGTTATTATTATTACGATAGTGTTTCATAACATATTATACGATCGTTGGACATGTTATAATAAAAATAAATTTGTGTAATAACGTCTACACACATGAC